AAAAGTAGGGCAAACAGGTGGCATGAGAACTTTTTGATACTCAAAAGATTGGTACAATGTACATATTTATACTCAATTACCGCTGTCATACATTTACTCTCACTTGCTCTTTGACAACATTCTGTCAAATTTCAAAACATCCTATTACAAGATCCGTTGTAGAATAGTGCTAACAGCATACCACTGCAGAGCAGTGGAACACAAGTAGAAGAGGTGGATGGACAACATCCACCACGGGCTAAACGTTATCTCCACAGCTTCATCTGTCGTTCTGACCCCTGGCCGTGCGGTGCCTGCAGGGAAGCGGCCTGTGGAGTAGAAGTGGGACAGAAGTTCCTCCTTCTCCGCAAACCGCTCGTACAGCCACTCGGTCAGGCCCGGCTCGTCACGGGGCACCTCGGAACTTGGGAAATGTCTGCATGGGACAGTTAGAAATGTTTACAAGGACGCAATCATTACATTGACGCACTGTGTGCTCATATTGCGTAGGACACTGGGCTTTTAAGGATTTTACAGCAAAGTAGCTGGATAATGCCTGACCATAACCTTGCCCAGTGCCATTGCCTGTTACTCTGATGCCCCATTTGCAGACAGAACCACATACATAACCCTTATATAGCATAACTTACAGCATTGTGTAAACTTACAACGACAGGCAACGTTAACAAAGACCAATATTCCCCATTTAAGGACCAGACGTGTACCTGTAGTGCAGTGTAGTGGGATATGGCGCCCTCCATCCTGACGTTAGGGTCTGTATATCCAGCGGCTTGCCGTGCTCATAGCCAATGGTGATGTCTACAATCCACTTCACATGAGCTTTGACGAGAAGAGATGTTTAAACAGTTTACATCATGCCATTTCATTTTCCACTGCCTGCAAAGAAGATGTCAAACCCAAAACCAACCAATATATAATCTTACAGAAGATCATTAGACACCTTGCATGCTGTATATTCACATACGTTATTATTTTATTAACTGCAATCAGCCGTCGAATACGATTTTTACCTCCATGAAATGTGTCATGGAGGTTATATTTTCAGTTGCGTTTATCTGTCTGTTGGTCAACAAGATAACTCAAGAACGCCTGGATGGATTGGTTTCATACTTGGTGTGTTGGTAGGGTGTGACGAAAACTGGAAATGATTAGATTTTGGTCCCCCTAGTGGCTTCCCTTGGTACTGCAGCGCAACTTCCGGTTTTGATATCTCGCGGTCATGCTAGGGTCATGAAATTTTGATGGAAGGTAGCTCTCGTGCTTGGGAAGAAGTCATATGAGTTTGGGCCCCCTAGCGGCTTGTTCTGGAACTGCAGGGCACTTTCTGGCGAAATGTTTAAAAGCCAATAAGTCCAGACAGGAACAACATATTTTCATTATTTTTGGTGTGTAGGTAGCTGAAAGAGAGATGTACATAATTAAATGCAAATTATGCAAATGAGGACTTTATTTGCATAATTAGTGAGGAAATTCTATAATTACAGTGTTTTACATTATACTACTTACATACATGTAATGTATGTAACCTATGGCAGGTGGAACTTCAACAGATACTAATTATGCAAATGATGACCTAATTTGCATAATTAATGCGAAAATTCTATGATTTCGTAATGGTGAATGATGAGAATGTCTTACTTGGGACATCTGGAAGTTAATCAAAAGTTAACATACATCACGATGCATATATCATGTTAATGCAGAGGTCAATTGCACAATTAAAGAAGAAATTTACATTTACATATCAAGATCATATTTTATGGAGGTATGA